CAGCCATTTTTTGGTTGCAGCCGTCATTGTTGTTTGGCGGGCCTGGGCTGGGGATTCGAACCCGCCACCTTAGGTGTATATGGCTGGCGCCTTAGCCGCTTGGGCCACAGGCACCGAGCCAAGAACATAATGATTATTAAGAATATTACAAAGCAGCATTATAAATAGTTATGATCATGGGCTCTGGAGTCAGATGGCCTCAATTCAAAACCACACCCTGCCACTTACTAGCCGGTGACCTTGGGCAAGCAACTTAAACTCCATGTATCTTGGTTTAAATAGGGATAAATACTAGCATCTAAATCATATGAGGATTATCTAAAAACTGAATTAGTTAACACATGTATTACAATGGTGCTCAAAGAAAGAGCTAAAATAAAAAATGTGTTAGCTTTATATCTCTAATGGGGTTTCTATGGAAATTAAAACACATTTCACATTTCAGACTAGTGAATCTTAAGTTGACCACAACATCTGTGTTGAAAACCCCAAACTCCCACTGGTCTTAGACCCACGAGTAAATTTTATCTCCACCAGGCCACATTTACTTATTTACTCACCGGTGTTTGGGATACAGGTTTCCAAAACGATCTCTGACTTCCTTTCGGATACTTTATTGCTAACAACACACTGTACTTGCTGTGAGAGATCTCTGTCCATAGTAAAAGATAGTTCACTGTGTGAGTGACTGTTGCATTGTTCCCAAGGGCAAAACCACGAGTAATTTAAAAGTTCTTTATGGCTGTTGTAATGCTCTGGGATCAGGCATTGGACTACAATTTCTCCATCAATCAAGGTACAATTTAATTTAAGAGATGGAATGTGCTCTGAAAAGAAAAAAAGGGGTAATATTTAGTACCCAAAAGAGTAACATTTAGACTCGTGATCTTCAGGTTTATGAAGAGCTCCCAACTTCCTTATGAGCTTGGAAAGACAAGCAGACCACCGCCTTGAGCAGGGGACTGGGGCGAATCCTCTCTGCTGCTGGGTCACATCTACCCACCTGACACCAACAGAATACATTCAGGCTCCAAATTCCTTATCCTCAATTCCGAAATTTAAAAAGCCTCTGAAAGCCAAAAGACTTTCCCCAAGTTGGTAGCAAGGTCATTTAACTGCAAATCCTGATCTGAACTAAGATATGAATTTATAGACTTTATTTTTCTCACTTACTTCAAATGTTCACGTTTCACAACAAAAATATTCCTGTGCTTGACCACAGGGTGCTTCCCATAACTAAGTGGGGAGCTTACTGTGCGGAGAGAAAATTCATTGTATTACCTTTCCAAAAGGTAAATAATAATAATTCCAAAACATATCTGACTCAAAAAGCTTTGAAGAAGTTCCATGGAACTACACAGAGCCCAGCAGGCTATGCCCACTGGTTGGGCCAACCCTGCTAACAGGCAGAGTGAGGTATAGCAGGCGTCACAGGCCTGCCCGTCCAGAGGCCTCACTCCCAGCCTTCCTCTAGGATGCACCTGCTCCTGGCTCAGGCAGCCTGTGGCTGTAAGGGTGGGTTAAGACACTCACATGTCACGTATGCTTCCAAACCTCAGGGCTAGTTTGTCCTACTACTCATTTGTTAATTCACAAGCCTTCTTGCATCTCAACTTTTCTTCAGCAATTGATCGTAAGAGACTTGAAAACACGTGCAAAAATATGAGTAATATACATCAATAGTCATGGTAACACACGGAGAATAAAGCCAAAACATAAACATCTTCTAAAAAGGGTAGTAAATTAAGGTTCAACAAGATAATAAAATACCAAGGTGTCTTTTAAAATGGTGCTTTCTAAGACAAAGAGATATTTAAACTCCAATTCATAATCTGAAAAATAAAAGTGTTTAATCGTCCCCCTTGTCTTCTCCTCCTGAATAATAACGTGTTCGGCCTGCCTTGCTGGAGACCAGAGGTCACGGGCTGACTTCCTTTTTTGCTTGGTGCTTCCTCAATTTTTAAGTTTGATCTAATTCACATTAACTCCTTACACATTGCCTTAAGGTTTTCTTTAACAAAAGGGACTTTTAAGCTTGTTTTAAATACTAGAGACCCTGCTCCAAATTAAATCTTGTGTGACAATCCAATCAGCGGTGAGGAGCTTCTCTGGCTGACTTAAAAAGCCGAGAGCCTGCTCCCCAGCTTCCCCGTCCATGTCGCCCACCCTAGCTGACAGTGGCCCCCAGGGAACTTCCAGGGAACCCCATGTGTCCCCAGAAGAAAACAGAAATGCCTTTCTCAGCACTGCCTGTACTTGCACCTGCCTCTGCCATGAGGCTGGGCATTTCTCATGGGCAGAAAGCCAAGGTTTTGACTTGCTTAGACATGAGGCTCTGAAGCACTTCTCAGATTTCGTCGTGCTTAACTAAGAACCACTGAGGGTGCTTGTTAAAAACACACGTTCCTGGGTCCACTGCCCAGGTGGCTCTGATGTGGGTGCCCATGTGTCCCCCCTGTGTCCTGTTACAGACTCTAACTGGTCAAGCTAGTTCAGTAGGATACTTTGATCTGACACTTTCTGAACCGAGCAGAGGCACATCACAAGCCCCCAGACTGAATCTTCAGAGGGCAAAGACCAGGTATTTTTCACCGTTCGACCACAGCAACTGATACCACACAAGGCACAGATGCTCCACGTGAGTATTGTTGGATTAATAGACCGATGGACAGAAGGATGGATTCAGGGAGACAGTCTTTTAAATTACTTTCTCTACTCTGTTAAATGTAAATTCTTCAACCAGTTCATCTCCAAAAAGGAATGATACGGTGTTTAGGATGGCCCTAGAAGCCTGGCTGCCGGGGTTCATGTCCCACCTCCACTGCTAGGAGCCTCTTAGCACCCCAAGTCCAGATTTCTACAATGGGGAGACAAACAGTATTTACCGCATCAGACTGGGAGGAGAGTTAAGCGAGGTGCTGCAGGGCACAGCCTGTACAGTGGGGCGCACAGGGGAGTGCGTGACAAAGACTAGCTGTGATGGAGCACAAAGCCACTGGCCATTGGGCAACGCCAGGAGGTCAAGGTTCCCTGGGAGGATGCGTGAGATGAGAAGAGGCGCTGACCAGGAGTTGTGAGGTTTGACCTTTAGCCCTGGCTTTCTGTGACCTTGGGAGCTAAAAGACTCGAGGAATCATCCAGTCCAAGCCTCTTGCTCTCCAAGTACAGAAACCGGCCCCCAACTGTCTCAGTTTTCCCTGCTAAAGGAAATGCTTTATCAGGTCATTTTAGAGCCCAAAATGAACGTGAAAGTTATTTGAGGGGAGCTGTGTGGATACACTAGTCTTATCCTCTGTGTTATTAGTCCCCCCTCAGCTGTGCGGAAGCCCTTTCTGACGATCTCCTATGCTACTGGTGCCAAGGGCAAAACTTAGAAGTGACTACCTGACCCACCTGAAAGTGTACAAGCCTTTCTGCAGCACTCGGATAAGAATGTCTACACCTCACACCTTTTCCTTTTATAAATCTTCCTCATTTTCTCACTGCCCATGGGATTTACTACCTTGAGATCTAACAAATATTCATTATTTTGGTAACTCAAACAGCATTAAAGTGGCAAGAAATGTGCCTACTTCATTCCTAAGAGAATGAAGTAATTTATAATTAATGTATTTAGCCCACATTTCATAGAAATAGGTGTATGTTTCCATTAACTTTAATGAAGGTCACATACAGACTAATGCAGACCATTTAAGGACAGAGCAGTTAATTCTACTTAAAGGTAAGTCATCATCTGGGATGTGATAAAGGTTTGTAAGGGGAGGAGAAAGAACCAGTAAACAAAGCAGTGGAAATTTCAAGGGGACTTCGGGGCTGGGAAGACAGCAGTATCTCAGCTCAGACACAGAAGGAAGTGGAGACCCTGCGTTCAGCAGAGGCCAGGAGATCCCCCTACCCAAAATACACTTGCTGAAAGTCTCTTGTGAGGTCTGGTGTCTCCGGAAGACTACCACATTCTTAAATAAGTGTTAACATAATTTCCAGAAAGTGTGACTTCCTCATTTCTTAAAAAAAAAAGAAAGAAAGAAACTATGACCAATCATGGTATCACTCAGGTGTGAGATCTAGAGTCATCTTATGCTTTTTTGCAACCAATTCCTAAAATCTTCATTCTGTCCTTTCCCAACACCTATTACTAAGCCCCCTGACTACCTGGATGACCACAGTACCTTCTAACCTGGCATTTCCTTTCTCTTATCTATCAGAGATACCCACTATCACATTAATCTTCCAAAAATATTAAATATTTCATCAAATCACTTCCCTGCTCTGGTTTCTGATACAAGGTCACTGACTCCAGGCCAAAGGTCACACCCTCAAACCCAGACTTTAAGTCTCAACAATCAGTGCTGTAGATATCACTCTCCTCCCCCTGATCAACGCCCCCTGCCCTGTACTTGACTCTTCCATGGACTTCACTAAGCTTCCTATTGGTCTGAGCACCAAAATCACGCACCTTGTTATGTAACCACAGGATTTTTAAGACTTAAATTATTTTAAAACATTTCATCAATTTTAAAAAGAGAACCTACTCAAATATTTTGAACTTAGTTTTATAAACTCTATAAAAGGGTTCTCCAAATGCATTCCGTTGTTATCTAAATTCTGAATCAATCATTTTGTTTGTTGGGTCTATAAACTGCCAGACTCCTGACTTCCATGTCTCAAAGATTCTACTTCTTCAAAGGGACCTATTGGTTCTTCTAACACAGCAGTTCTCAACCTGTGGGTTACAACCCACAGGAACTGTATTAAAGGGTTGCAGCATCAGGAAGGTTGAGAACCACTGTTCTAACAGGATGTCTTGACATCTGTTATGAGCTGCACTTGTCTAAATGAAGTTCATGGGGCCAGTTCACATACATCCCTGCAGGCCTCTGTAAAGATTTTAGGTTTAACTTGAGAGTGTGACAGAGCCAATAGAAAGTTCTACACAAAAAAGGATCACTCTGGTAGAAACAACAAAACTTCCCAGTGGAGAGAACGTGGTGTTCAGGAAAAAGGGAGGTGTCCCAATGACATCTAAGTTTTAGCCTAATTGGAAGGGTAGAGCTGCTGTTAACCAAGGAGGGAAATGTGTGGGAAGGAACAGGTTTTAGGGGAATGGTAATGAGCTTAATTCTGGACAGGTGATACCACAATGCCTGGCTATTTTTAGAACTGGGTCTCGTTCTCAAATGCCTGAGCTCAGGCAGTCCAAAGTGCTGGGATTACAGGCATGAGCCATTGTGCCTGGCTAATGCTTTTGTTTTCCATAAACCAATGATTTGTATTATCTCTGAAAGTAGATGGAAATTTGTCAGTTAAAACAGATCAATTTATGGAATACTCACCAATCACATTAAGAAAGAACTTGACAGTATCTGCCATACTTGGTGATTCAATTTCATACTCATCTTCATCTAATAATGTTAAGTTCAAGATAGTGAGGTTGCCAGATACATGGTCTAAGTCAACTCTACCCACAAAAGGCGGGAAAGGTGTCTTGCTCGAACCATCCCATTCTACAACTTTATTCTTCTGTTTTTTCCACAGGATCTCGTGAAAAGTTGTTGTATAGTTTGACGGTCCAAAAGTTACATTCTCGTTCAGAGCCCCATATACAATTAGGCGATTACAGCTGATAAAATCTAGGAGAGGGAAAACATCGGTTAGAAAAAATGTGACTTTAGGGGCAGAAATTGTTCATCAGACACTTTTTTTGCTAAGCTGATACGCTAAGTTTATAAACTGACGATGTAAAGAGTGGGAAGTAAGAACAAGCTTGACCATGTAGAACTTAGCCTTTACTAGAAAACTGGGGCAACATTTATGGAGCACCAACTACGTGGCAGGTACCAGGGGCCGTGCTGCAAATGTGTTGGCTCCAGGCCCTCCGAGAGGCCCATTTGTGGAAGAGACACAGAGCACGCCATTCACAGGACTGCAGCCCCCTGATCAAGGGCCTGCCCTAGGAGGTTATGCTGGAACTGACAAAAGCCCACACAAATCAGGATCAAGGGCAGTTGGCCAACTGAAGCCTGGGTGGGCGAGTGGTGGGAAAAATGATTATACAGACAAAGAAAACATCACCTGCAGAGAAAAAAATCAAGGAAGAGCTTGGTGTGGTTGGGAAACAAAGCAATTCCTAGTAGCCAGAACAAAGAGAGTAAGGGAAGCTTCTTGGGGAAAGAGATGGGTGGGGGCTAGATCACAGCCTATGTTGTGGGGGATGACAGGGGGTTAGGGAAGTTATGCTAAGGGTGTGGACTTACCCTAATGGCTACAGAAAGCTACACAAAGGTTTTTCACAAAAGGCTGGCCAGATATGATTTAAGTGCCACCAGGCTAATTCTGCCTTTAGAGCAAAAAGAGGTTGACTGGCCAAGCATGGAAGCGGAACCAGCATGAAAGTCAGTGCTGTGGCAACGAGAGCAGTGGACAGGGCAGACTAGACCAGGGGTGCTGGTGATGGGGATGGACAAGAGGACAGACTCGAGAGATGTCTGAGAAATGGAATCGCCAGGCACGGTGTCTCTGCATGTAATCCTAGCACTCTGGGAGGTCCAGGTGGGAGGATTGCCTGAGCTCAGGAGTTTGAGACCAGCTGGAGCAAGAGCAAGACCCTGTCTTTACTGAAAGTAGAAAAATTAGCTGGGGATCACGCGGGTGCCTGTAGTCCCAGCTACATGAGAGGTTGAGGCAAGAGGATTACTTGAGCCCAAGAGCCCTGTGAGCTATGATGCTATGGCACTCTACCCAGGGTGGCAGAGTGAGACTCCGTCTCCCCCTCAGAAAAGAAAGAAATGAAATCAATAGGATTCAGTGACTATTGGGGAGGGAGGGGGATGGAAGTGAGAGAGGATACCAGAGAGGGGCGAGGTCCGGGAGAACAGGTCTTCTCAGGGAGACCACGAGGATGCACCTGCAGGGCCCTCTCCATGGTGACTCAGCTCTTGGGAATTTATAGGCTTAACCTCCTGGAACTTGGAAATTTCCAAGTTCTGTGAAATCCTGTAGTTCTATAGGGGCTAGAGTAGCATCTCCCACTTGATTCAAACTGGCCAATGAGAAGGGTACCTGTGGGGTGGAACTTTTTGACTGTCAATAAAAAGGAAAAGACCAAGCTAGTTGGGGAGTGTGGCCATTTGGAAATCTTCTATGCTGTAAGTTCTGGGCCAATGAATAAAGCCCTTCCTCTTATGACTATGGTGTTTGGGTGCTCTTTCTCTCCGTTGGGCCTCGTCTTCCTGCTACATTTTTGGTTCCCTGACCAGGAAACAAGATCACCCTTGGAGAGAACATGCACCTGGTAGTTGCTGCCAATCCTCTGGACACCCATGTGGGGGCCCCAATCGACCTGGGCGACATGAACCACTGAGCGTGCCAGGGAGGCAGTTTGGCCTCCCTGTGTGGACACCTTGACTGGGCTGAGAAGGGACCCCGTTGGTGGGTCTTCGAGGAGTCAAACGCCAGGAGGAACTGGCATGCAGGAACAGGTACCTACACAGGGAGACGTCTAAAGCAAGGTAGGATCCATTTGGGGCCCACTACAATTTTAGTGGAAGAGGAGCCTGATCACTTCCTGGGCGTTAGATCGCCGGCAGGTAAACAGGGAGATGTCTGAAGCAAGGTAGGATCCATTTGGGGCCCACTACAATTTTAGTGGAAGAGGAGCCTGATCACTTCTTGGGCGTTAGATCGCCAGCAGATCTGTTGAGAGGTGTGTGAGACCAGATCTGCTAGATCACCAGCTGATCTGTGAGAGGTGTGTGAGTGTGTGGATGTGGTGTGACTGAGAGAACTCTGAGGGTGGAGTTGGATCTCCCCTCACAGGGCCTAGAGGAGTGTTGGTTTGCCTCCTATGGCTAAGTGGCAGCTTGAGTGGGAAATCGAGGCTGCCCAGGTTAAGAAATGCTTTGGAATTGTGTGCATGTGAGTGCTTGGAGAATGACTGGGATGGGTAACAATAGGTAGGGTTTCGCGCCCCCCCTTCACAGGGTGAAATGAATGTGTGAGTGTGCCCTTCTTCCCTACTCCAACTTTGCCCCCTGGCTATTCTGAGGGAAACTGGAAGGTCCAGGTTTTCTGCTCTCTGTCTTTGGTGACTATCACGTAACCATGTCGTCTTGGGGGAAAATGGAAAGACATTAGAAAGGGTTTTGTAGTTTTGTTACTGGAATTTCTTCAGTAAGTTTTTGGTCTCAGGAAATTGAGAATTGAGACTTCAGGCCACAGATCAACAAAATGAAATGGCATTTTGTTGAACTGAGGGACATGCAGATGGAGTGGAGAGTGCCAGAATTATAGGCAGAGGAGCCATGCCTTGGAAAGTGCTGTGGTCCAGGTAGTCTGGTGAGCTCTGGATGGCCCTTAAAAATCTGGAGGAGAGAGTGTAAATCTCGTCGGAAACGGTGCTGTATCCATATCAGCAACAGGTCTCCTGGGTGGATAGCCTCCAAAAGGGGGGAGAAGGCCCAGGTCAGAGATTTCTTACATGAGTCCCTTGTCTAGGGGTAAATAGTTGGCCCTGAGAGATATTTCGGCCAGGACTTGGTAGATGAAAAAAAATACTTTTACAAACTGAATGGATGTCCTAGCAAATGGATGAATGCAGCCCCTCACCTTGGGCAAGGTTATTAGGTCTTTGCAGCAGTTTTTGTCTGGGGAGAGGATTAGGGTGTGTGCTCCTTCGTCTGGGTGGAGCCAGCCAAAAGATTTCAGGCTGCTTATTCGTGACCTTGCTGGGGCTCAGAGTTTGTACCTGGAGATGAGAGTCTGATATCTGAGCTCCCCTGAGCCTGAAAAATAGGGGTTCTCTGTCCAGCTCTGAATAGGAAAATCCTGTATCAATGTTATAGCTCATAAAATGTCTCTCATTTGTAAAATGCAATCATTGGTTGTTTAAATTGTTAGAGAAACTGAGTCGTTGTCAAAGGATAAGATTCTTGCTTTTTAAACCTTCTAATTATCAGTTTGGCCGAGTGAATGGGTGACTTCATAGTGAACTGAGATTCTGTTTTGTGGAGAATTTTAAGAGTAAGAAAAATTAGAAAGAAGAATGGCATGATGTAAAGAAAGAAT